CAAGAATGTATATTCTTTGATCTGTGTCAGTTGGCCGGGAAGCGATTTTTTTTGAAAAATTAGGTATGCTTTCATTTCAGGCGACATTCAATTCATTTTTTACGTGCGTTCGGTTACGTAATTTTTTTTAAATATTTTGATATTTCAGCATAACAAATATACAATTTTTTTGTTAGTGATGTTTTCTTGTGCGAATATGGGAAAAATGTTTGGGGTGGTACATTTCATGACGAAAAATATATTTTTTAAGTTGTTTCTCTATAGGTAAACATACTGCATTTTTACATACAACAAAATATATGGTTTTAGATCACTTCAATTTTTCATTGTATTTTTCTCGAAAAATGCTGTTTTTCTATTTTTTTGCGAAAATTTACTATAGAAACTAGTTTTTTTTGAGTGTTGACAAATTTTTGCAAAACTCGTACCTGAACTCGGCGAACAATTCACTCATGTTCCAAAAAAATTGAGGTTAGAAAAAAATAGTTATATTTTGAAAAAATCCGCACTTTTTTTGTAAAGAATTAGTCTCTACCACATTCAAAATGGTTCTATTTTCTTTCTAAATGGCTTACTTTTTGTGACACTAAAGTGTTATGGACCCGATATTTCGAATAAGTAATCAGTCATAAACTCGGTCCATCTAAGCAATGGAGTGCTCGAAAACATTATCACGCCTTGTACACGTGATCTCTCTGACGAGGCTGCTTTTACAGAATCACACTAAAGCCTTGGTTTTTTTGAACACTTCGTCGCGGTGAGCGGACAGTCCGTCAACCGTCGCGTTTTGACGATTTTATCCAACCAGAGTATTTAAATGGGAATGGTTTTCTTGAATCCGCTTAGCTGAGCAGGACGGCGTCATGCCGCTGATTTGTCGCGAAGAGTCGGTTGATATCTGTTGAGTTTGATATCAGCGGAATCGTCGGCGTGTGCGGAGACTATATTGTTATTAATTTTAAAACAATGGGTGACAAATTCACACATACAAATGACATCATGACTTTATTTTTAGATTTCTTGGAAATTATGTCCTTTATAAAACTCAACACGAATTCAAAAAGATCTGTAGAAAGTCTAAAATACTCCCTAAATTTGGTTTCATTTCCAAAAAACCTCAGCTGCACAATGATATTAAAGCCACCTTCTATATCGCGACACAAAAACAACTCATCCACTGGCTTATTGGAAACTTTGACGGTTGCAATTGCCAGTTCCTCTTGTTCTTCCTCTTCCAACAATAATAACAACGCAAACAATTTATTTGCATCCATTTTAGTACCTTTCGTTTACATTCATAATACCTGACATAAACAGCACGTACAGACCTAGAGAAAGTATCAGTTTCTATATTTTTTAACAAACCACCTCGGGCGAAAATTGCTGTCCTCAGCGGTCGACGGACTGTCCGCTCACCGCGACGGAGTGTTCAAAGAAACCAAGGCTTAAGGGACGATCGAGGTTTTATTAAATAATATGCAACTAGGTATGGAGAAATTACTCGATGATAAGTTCATTACCGAGAGTTCGAATGATTCGGAGTACGGAACACTCGGATCGTTCGAGGCGCTCGAGCCGAATATTATACAGGAGCCGCTTGGGCTTCGGACTGGTCGTACCACAAAGCATGTATCTTCTAGAGACCCCACGCCAATGTTAAACTTTTAAACCAAATTAGCGCCACCTTGTGTTTGGAGCTGGAACTAAAATGACAATTGACAGATGGCGGTAAATTCAAATTGTAATTTTTAGGAGTAGATAGTAGTTTTAAATTAAATTTTAAATGATTTCCACATAAATTATTTTATAAAATAAAGTATGGAACTAGTAAGTTCGAAACTTTTATTTTACAAAATAATTTAGGTCGATTATACCAAATTTGAAGAATTAATTTGTTATAAGGGGTCTATTGTGGAGAGTTTGTTCTGCATATTTTTATTAAATAAATATAAGATATATCAATAAATAATAAAATAGAACATTCTTAAAATATGTTTATTAATAAATTAAATAAATATTATTAGATAAAAATAAATACAAATAATAATACATATTTAACGAATACTTACTTGGAGCAAATAGATATATAATCTCAAATGTTTAAAATACCTATCAATAATGTAAATGTGAAGTAGAGACTAGGATATTACATTTTTTTAACACTAAAGTTATATATTTTATAAATGTCGTTTTAACTGAGGACAAATGTAATATAGGTATTGTATTAAAAGGTGAATCCTTTTAACTATTCATTCAATGATAAATAGGTATTTTCCTTCCAAATACAGATGGTGATACAGATTTCGGAATCTAGTCCAGTGATAAATTGATTATCAATTAATTGTTGTCCCCGTTTATCTTTTTATGATGCAGATGCATGGTGAATATATGGTGAATCAATGAAGTTTTTCTCGAAGTTGTCAACGTAGCACCAAAATTATTGCAAAACACAGTAGGAAATAAAAAAGCGAAACATCACAATTTTGCAAATAACCAAGACGAAACTATAAACAGAAACCAAAAGCCAAAGCCAACAAAAAATCACTAAAATCAGACGGAAAAATGAAACTAACCAAGAACATAAATAAATACACGTCACATCTTTGGAGTCTTTGGTTAAGTTTTTCTCCCATAAGGCTTAAAAATGGAGTAAGAAATCATAATTTCACCAGTAGCCCCATCTAGAGTTTGGAGCAAATAGCATAAAAAATGTCAGTTGTCGGTTTTGACCTTGGTCATTCACGTGGAACCTCTATGTGCTTTGTGGGTCGTACTGTTCGGAGCTCCGCTCGAGCAATACAAGCAAGAACCGAGCCTGCTCGATCAAGCTCGTGCACATCCCTAATAAAAGGTTGCGTGGAAGAGCGCCACTTAACTGCAATTTGCAATTAAGTGCGAACGTCGCCCATTGCTCGATGTGTATGTAATCTCGTATTAGAAGTTATTATTATTATTTGTTATTTTTCTACTATGTTTCCTTTGTATATATTATATGTGAGATTATGAGCAATAAAGTCATTATTATTATTATTACAATATGCAATGGCGCTCACAATGAACCAATGAATTAGTCAAGGGCGATACATGTTAATAATCTCAAAAATAACAATAAAAAGATCACGTAGATTTTGATTTAAATAGATGTCGATAGAAGGCTGAGCCCGAACTGTCCATTAAGCCACTTTATCAGTGGCAGTGCCTTCTGGATCCTATACGAAGCAATTTGTTTGCAATCCCCTGGCATTTTCATCCTTATAGACTATCGTCTTTAACCAATTGAAATGAAGTGTTCACAGTGCAAGGACCGGCGTTCAAATTCCGGCTGAGCCCAATTTTTTTTTTAATTTGTAAAATTCATAATTTAAAATTTTTGTGTTATCTTTAAAATATTTATTTGTCTTAATATCCTTGGGTGTACAAAAAATACACTATATTATTGTGTATATCCATATCGGACTCTGCCTACATACGATATCGCTATCATATCCACTCCTATTGGACAAATACTTTCAAAAAACACAGTCAGTGCTGTTGCAACTTCTGATTCGTCTAAATGTACTGGACACGTGATAAAAGATAACAAATTATGGGACATAGATCAAAGAATAAAAATATTAATAGAAGGAATGGAACTAACGTCCGAAGATGACTTCTACATCGACAGTGAACATCCAAACAATTAATTTTAACGACTTATTTTGTTATTTTAATTCACATTTAAATTTAAATTTATTTTCGAGGATATAGATATATTAGTTTCTTGCCTTTAATAAATATAATAATGAAACTCAACTTGATTCAATAAAATATTAAATAATATAAAAGTTTAATTTTTTTTCTCATAATTTAACTTTCTTTTACTTTTGAAACACTTTTTGTGACTTTTTTTTTTAATGTTTGAATACTTTTTACATTACATAATAATGACGTTTAAATCATATATTATTAGTCAAAATTATCAGGTTTCGTCAAAAAATAATAATGATCTATTTACATACTGCTCATGTAACACCTTCTATAATAAAATAAAAAAAAAATAAACATAATAAATAAAATCATATTTCTTGCCAAAAATAATAACCGTCTGCCAAATTTGGCAACAATTTACAGATTGTGGAATTATTACCCAAAAAGCGACAAAAGTATATCAAATTTGAACCCCCCTGTACTTTTTAATTTTTAGTATTTTATTTGAATCAGATCGTAATATTTAGAAGCCAACACTACCATTACTGACCTCACTTCACTTTAAAAACAAGTTATGTATTAAATTAAAAAGCATATTTATCATATACCTATGTAAAACATTAAAATTGTCCACCACTGCTGTAATAGAATGATTGGAATATTACGTAAAAAGGGGCCGATTGTAACAGTCGAAAAAAATAAGATAAACGTGTTTCAAACGCGCTTACCTTCTGTGTTGCATCATATTGTTCGGCGGATGAAGTAGGTGGTAGTATTAGTCCAGTAGCCAAGACCGGGCCCGGTTACACAGTTTATATAATAACGTTTATTATACAGGATTTTATAATAGCGGATTTAACGGAACATACACACCACAAAGCGTTATCGTCGCGGCAATTGCTGTAGTTCTTCTTCTCGTCCAACGGCGCTTCACTTGTCTTACAGTCAGACGAAGCGCATGTGTGGGCCAAAGTTTTAAGTAAGCGATTTGAGACAAAGCGCGAATATTTAAATAATAAAATAGGAATTAATTCATTCTGGAACAACTGCAAACATTTTCTACTGCCCCGCAAGCTCCAAAAATATCTACGAATTTTGGAGCTGTGACACATGTCAGCATTCCATTACACATTCCTGAATTTTTTTAAACAATAAACATATTAAGAGTTAGAGTAGCTTGAAGCTAATCTTCGCCTATCTGGTGCAAATGTTGTACATTTGTTCAATAAAGACATTTTTATTTATTTATTTATTTTTATTCAACTATAAGAACTTAATTATCAATTAGTACAATACTTTTAATTGAAACAAATATCTCTTAATCTTTACTCAGTTCCGTTTTAAGATGTTCTAACTCTTTTATTCTTTGGTTGACACTTCTTTTTCTTTCTTCCAAATCGTCACAGAGTGGCCGTGCTACCTTAGAAACAATGTGGACTAATGCTAAAGTTTTAAAAGCATCATTATGTAAACATGTTAACTCATCTTGGATATCATTATCTTGTGTTTCATGACTGTCTATCTCTTCTTGAATAAGGATTTTGGTAAGGTTGGCAATTCCTGGAAAATTAAAAAAATATTTCTGCTATTTTAAAAATCCATATTTATGTATATTATAAAAATTACAAATTCAAATTTATTCATTCCCATTAGTACAAATACCATACATCTCAAAACCAGAATGTGCACTATGAACTAAAGTCTGTGTGTGCACATGTTACATTATTTACAACAGCAGTATTGATATTCAATAATGTACAAGACATACATATACCTACTTAGTAAACCAAGTTATATTATTGTTTATAAGCCATTCCGTGATAGGGACAGAAGTTTATTCAGCAGTGGCTTATCAAAGAATAAAAATATTATCAAACATTTTAAATTATTACCAGTGAAATCGGGCAACTGTACCTATTTATGAGCTACATACAGTGAGCATCTTAAGTCTTACCCTCCCTAACTCGTTACTGGGGTCTTGTTAGGAAAATCGCCGAGACAAGTCGATTTTTAATTTCTACAATGTACATTTTTGCATGATTAGTTAACCCTTAATTTCATTCCTTACTGGAGGGTAAAAACTCTTTCGAACAATTTAAATGGCATGGGGTGGTGAGTGATAGCTCATTTGAAAGGGGGTTTTATTCTCTATTCAACCGTGCAAAAAAATTTTGAAATTTGCATCATTACATGTTGATTTATTAAGGCTGGGAAATGGACTAAAAATGGCGGCCGTTTCTGTCATTTTACAACGTGTTACTAAATCATGCTTTTTAGATTAATAAAGAAAAATTACACGGAAATTGAGTTATAATTATATACAGCAATGTTGTAAGAATGAATTGAATATAAACATATTCGATAATAACTAATTATAATTTCACATTATCATTAAAAACTTGAAAAATTTTACTGCAAGGATTATTAAGCAAATTGTTTTCAATGAATTCTCTATGATTTTTTATTAACTATCCTACAATATGACGGCTGTCGGCCTAATAATTATTACAAAAAGCATGATTTTAATTTGCAAATTTTGACACAATTTTTAAAATTGACGCGTTAATTATCATGTCATTTTAGTACATCGTGTTCACCACCAATGCAACATGCAAGGCTGAGTTAACATATGCATTGGAACTTGGGTGACAACTAATGGTTGCCAATCAGAAAAGTAAACGTCATATGTCAATTAATGGTTGACCAATTAGAAATGCAAACGGCATGTCAAATTATTTCAAAGTACAATACGAACCGACGTTCAAATATACTTGTATATGATAATACGGCGTTGCCGTTCTATGTATGTTTACAATGGTTTTAAAGATATTTATTGAGTGACAAAATATTCCTGCATGGACAAAATCGGGAAGCTTTTAAGGCACAAGCACTTTTGTTAGTTGAAAAAAATAAAAAAAAAATAATTTTGTACGTTCTCAAACCTGCTTTATACAGTGCGTGCCAATAAGTTGGACCCATATGTGATTTTTTTTAATATTACGATTGGAAAAAAAATCGTAGACCAATCATCTCTGGTTATTTAAAAACCTAAACTAACCCATATCATTGACTACTAGAATCAGTTCTGTCAGTCTTGTTAAGAAAAGGATTTTTGAGCGATTTTTCAAAATCATTGCGAATTTGACTGGTAAGTAATATACGCAGCCAACTTTTTAAATAATCAGAGGTAAATGACGTTTTTTCCGGTCATAATATTAAAACAAATTGCCATATATATATGGACCCAACCTTATTGCACTCACTGTATGTCACAGACGTGCCATGAAGACTAATTTTAAGAATTGAAGCCAATTGGTGTGCAAATGGATATTTTTCTGCAAGATTAATTTTGAGTTTGTTTGAAGTAGTTATTTTTTTTTTTTAATTTGGTGTCATCGGCGTCGACTACTACGGCCATTAGCCTCGTGTTCTGTGTAGGCTTTGTTACTGTTTCCCAGCGCCACTTTAGGAACAGCACTGTTAATTAGAACCCAACAGTGAATGGTCGAGTGGGGAATCCTACCTAAGCATTAGAATTAATATTTAATTTTTTAATTAAATAAAAATTCCTGCCACCGGTGGGATTCGATCCTGAGACCTTCCGATCTCAGAGTCATGACTCTAACCACTGAACCAACCCACCCCCCTGAAGTAGTTATTATAATCAGTTTTATTAATGTTAATTGTATTGGTTCAAGAGCAATTTTAATAAAAACTAATTCAAAACTTGCAAAAATACCTAAATATTTTTGTTTATTGCAAAAATAATTATTGATAGGACATGGGTGGAAGGAAATATAAAAAATAATTAGACATAAAACAATTAAAAAGTAGTTTATTAGAAAAAAGATTATAGTATATTACAATAAAAACAACCTAAAATATAATACAGATGTCAAAAATATTGGAAATGAATCCTTTCTTTCAACATTAAATTTTTGTTACACTTTTATTCCTTGAGGAACTTTGGAACCAAACTACTTTTGGGAACACATGACTTTCCAATTGCACATCTTATTTCTCTTCCTCTTTCTACTCGGGACATTTGTATGATGCCCCATATTTTATAAGGTAAACGTTTATACACTAACTACTAAAACGTACTATCATTAAATATATCCTTTATAACTAATAGAAGTCTTATAAAAGTAACGAAATCACAAATAACGAAAAAGCACAAAAAAATAACAACACCCACTCAAAAATCTGCCAAAATTCAAACACGAAAAACGAACTGTTTACGTTTTGTTGTTTAGACTTCAATCCTTCGATATTTGAGTTTTTTGGCTTGTCAATTGCCAGAGACAACTACCAGTTGCTTATTTCCGAAATTCACAATAATCGATCCAATCGATTGTTAATTTTCACAATTTTTGTCTAATCAACAAAAAGCATGAGCGATCACGTTATTGTCAAATTATATTTTTACTTAAGTAATATCATGATGCATTTTAGAGGTACCATTACCTAATAAGTAGGCATAAAAAATTAAAAATTATTATTTTATTATCGAAATGAATCGAGGAATCATTCAAATTATAAAATAATCGATTTATATTTATAGAAGTTTTGCAAATTTTAGGTAAAATGTAAACAAAACCCTTCGAATTAGGAAAAACCATAAAGTAATAAAATTTCTACCCAACCATAAAATACCTTTCACTCCAACCCAAAAATTGCGATGTGGAAAAGTTCAATTTAAGGGGTTCTTTAGGATTAAAATTATTATTATGACCGTCAAATATAGTTTATAAGTGAACACAATATTCCAGTAATGTGAATAAATGTTGAAATATTATTCTAAAGTAAAATTTAATGTTTTTTTTTTCTTCTTGTCACATTTAACCTACTTACTACTTACCAACTATGTACAAGTTTTGAGAGATTAATTTTTCATGTAATAGTGCAATTATTAAATTAAAACTAGATATCGCAAAATATATTATTCTTCTAAAACATTTATTGGTATCTGTCTACCTAAATTTGGCAACCTGGATATAAAAACAAGTACGCTTAAAAATAAAATTGTAATACGAGCTAGAGGTACAGGTATTGCCATCTATGTACAATGTATTGAATACTTGCTTTGTTGCAAAACCGCTGGCTCAAATGTCGCAGCCTTAATGTTTAAAAATAACAAAACCTCACAAAATAGGAAAGCAACTAGACTAACAATGACCTTCTAATGGCAAAAAGTCTTACTTCACGTCTGAACCAAAACCGAAGTCATGCAGGGCCGAATTTTAATTCTAAGGATGAGTGCGCTACGTTAATTTCCGTTATTCTGAAACAACAATTAGTCGAGAATTAATGAAGCAAATTTCAAATTTTTTTACACGGTTGAATAGAGAATAAAACCCTCTTTCAAATGAGCTATCACTCACCACCCCATGCCATTTAAATTTTTCGAAAGGGTTGCTCCCCTCCAGTAAGGGATGAAATTAAGGGCAAACTATTCATACAAAAATGTACATTGTAGAAATCAAAAATCGACCTGTCTCGGCGATTTTCCTAACAAGACTCCAGTAACGAGTTAGATAGAGGGGTAAGACTTATGGTGCTCACTGTATAATTATTTAAACAAGTAACAATATACCAAATCATAATTTTACACAATTTCAACAGCTATTCACAATTTATTAAACTATTTACATGGAATTGTTATTAGCATTTTTAAAACAATTTTCTAAGCCAATGTTTCATATTCACTTCAGTTCGAAACTGAAACTATGTACCCACACTAACTTTATAATGGTATCTGTTCCAATTTTGAGAAGACATAGTGAAAAAAACCTAATCAAGAAATTTAATTTGAAATCATACGAAAAATTAGTGTAGCAAAAAGTAATAGCAAAAATGTCTGTAAAAATTTAAAATTTGTGAAATCTAAAAATACAAACTGTAACATGTCTACTAACTTGGGCTCTATACATTTGACAGGTTTAAATAATTTTACTGTTCTTCCTATTAATAATAGTAACTCGGGCTCTATAGATTTGACAGATTCAAATAATTTAACTCTTCTTCCTTTTGATAATAGTAACTTGGGTTCCATAGATTTGACAGGTTTAAATAATTTAACTGTTCCTCCTTTTGATAACGTATCTATCACACCCACAGTTAATAAGGATTTTCCCACAAACTCTCAAACTCAAGATCCAAATTAAAAAGTATAATAAATATATTATATTTAAATGCTGAGAGCGTGGTGGCCCACATTGATGAAAAAATACGTGTGGCACTCGGGGACTGCCGCGGTAAAGCTATTTATCAACTTATGCAATTATAATTGTTTATTTATTTTGTTTATGCAATAATTTTTTTTTTCATTGATATTAATTCAAGTTTTTTCTTTGATTAATTCAAGTTACACTTTTTGAGCGTGGTGACCAATAAGAAAACAATTTTTTTTCTTTTATTGAATAAATGATAAGTTAATATTGTTTAAAATATTTTTATTATCTTACAATACATGTAGGTTATTCAGGAATTTTTATCATTGAAACTATAGGTTTATGGTAACTGAAATAAGAAACATAAGTTTGAGACTTGATATCCTCTAAATATCTGGAAAATACCGCGTCAATGGTGGTCCCATATTTTGTTGTGGATTCTTGTGGATCATTATTCATTTTCAAATTCAATTTTTCCGAAATTGTGTCTAGAATCAGTTATGAGCAGTTAGCAGCTAGTTTACAGGCATACGTCTAGTCGCACGCACACAAACACCGTGCCGAAGTCTGCCGAACTGAAACGACGTTAGACGATTCATGGCTTTCAACGCCGCACCGCTGTGCCCGTTGGGAGGGGGGGTGTTAGGTTTATTTTCGATACGGAATTTCTTTTTCGATTTTTCCATTTTTCGTATTTTCGATTTTTCCATTTTCTTTTATTGAGTAAATGAGAAGTTAATATTGTTTAACGCCGCATCGCTATGCCAGTCGGGGTGGGGGGGTGTTAGGTTTTTTTTCGTTACGGTGTTACGAAATTTCTTGATTCGGTCGCCGCGTTCAAAGCTATGCAATAGCTTAAATATCTAATTATGTGTTGTCAAAAAAACCAAGTTTATTATGTGTTTCTGAAACTTGATTGACTGAGGATATTTATGATTCTGAAATAGACATTGATGGATACAAAAATTATAGAGTTGACAGTGAAAGTAGCCACATAGGGGGTGCTTTAATTTATGTACGAAGTGAACTGAATGTTTTAAAATATTTTAAATTTTGTATTCCAAAAATTTGTAGGATTGTTTCTGTGATGGTAATATTAGGAAACAAAAAATTTTTAATTGTAACTTTATATAGGTCACCTAGCAGTAGCTGTATAAATATTTAGATTGTTTTAGCACTTGGGCTGGAGAAAATTTATGGGATAATTTTCAAATAGTTATTGTTTTTGGAGATTTTAATATTGACCTGTTAACTAAAAACACTTACAGTGCGAAATTAAGTGATATTTTGATTGATACTGGATTAAAAAATATTGTTACAAAATGCACAAGACCAAATAGAAGTGGTAATTAGAAATTTCAAAAATACCTAATGCTCTAAAAATTGCTATGGTAGTGCCTGTTCCAAAGACAAAAAAAAAGGCAAATAAAGCTACATATTTAAGGCCTTTTAGTATGTTAAGTTGTATCGAAAAAATCATTGAGAAGGTCGTTTATGAACAAATTGTTAATTTTTTAGAACAAAATAAACTTATTACTAGAATACAATCGGGCTTCAGAAGCAAGCATAACTGTGAATCAGCTATCCAGTGTGATTGGAAATATAAATTTGATAAAAACTATCTAACATTGGCAGTTTCTATAGATCTTCAAAGGGCATTCGAGACTTTTGATCAAAACCGTTTGATAAAAAAATTGAAAAGTATCAGCATATAGTAGAGCAAGTATTGGAGTGTGGATTATCTAAGTAAGAGGAAACAAAAGTTAAAAGTAAATAACATTTTGTCAGAGGAAATTAACTATATCAGAGGTGTTCCGCTGGGAAGTATATTGGGTTCCCTGTTGTTTTTAGTGTATATCAATGACATTGTTGATTTAAAGGGTCAATGTGACATTCACCTGTTTGCTGATGATGCCCTAATATAGTTTTCTTGTGATTCAGATAACTTGGTAAGAGTTGTTAATGAAACACTGCAACATGTTTATAAATGGTGTTGCAATAATTTGTTGAAAATTAACACAAATAAAACAAAATGTATGCTGATAAGTAAAAATTAGGTATAACTATACACAGTTTGTTGATAAACAATATAACAATTGGAGGAAATTCTATACAGTTAGTAGAAAAATTCAAATACTTAGGGGTAATGATTGACAAGCAGATGAGATTCATAGATCATGCCAACACTGTTATTAAAACTATTGCATTTAAGTTAAATTTCCTATTTAGAAGTTCATTTGGCTTATCACAGTGGACTAAATGTATTATATATAATACTATAAGTCTACCTCACTTTAATTATTGCTCTACAATACTCTTTTTACTAAATCAAAATGAGTTGAACTGACTACAGAAGCTGCAGAATAGGGCTATGTGAATAATATTATCTTGTTCAAAATATACATCCATTAATCTAATGCTTCAAACTTTGAGGTGGATGCCAATCAAGTCTCTTATTACAGAATGCCTTAATTTTTATTTATACAATCAAACAAGAGTTACTTCCAATGTACCTAAAAGAGAAGCTTAATTATCACTCTAATGTGCACAATTTTTATATTGAAACAGTTGTTAAGAGTGCAACACAAAATTCACTATTTTTTAAAGGTCTAAATCAATATAACGCACTTCCAGAGAAAATTAAATCTGTAATGCCTGTAACTACATTTAAAGTCAAAGTGACAGATTTCTTAACTGATGAATATTTCTCCAGAAACAGTAACAACCTATAGAATTTTAGTTAGTTTTAATTGTATATAAATGATCTATGTTTTGACTTATATGTAGGTATATGTATATTTTTACTAAATTTGTATATTGTGATATTAGCAAACTAGCTAAATAAAGGAAATAATAAGTTAGCTCCATGGCAAAACTGTTAAATCCTGTGTATGAAGTGGGAGAACTGGCAAAAGCCTTTCCAACTTTTGACACTGCTACAACAAGGTAGGGTGCAATGTAATACAAAAACTCAATAAAAAACATTACAATTTGGGAGTAATTGTCTCATATCTGAATGTCTCCAAAATGCCTTAAAGGTTTGGTACTCAGTGCTTGTTTGTAATCAAATAATACTCAAGGAACTAGAATAGGTCTTTATCCACTAGCCAATGTACACTTTTAAAGATGAAATAAATATATTATTTAATTTATAAGTTATATTCAGAGGAGTGGTGTAGGTGAATATACAGCAAAATAAAAAACTAGAAATGTATATCAATTCTTAAAATAAAATTTTTATAGGCACGGTGAATATTGTAAAAAAAACTACTTGGCCTTGTAAAAATAGTTCCATTTTTTATAAAAAATAACTACCTACCTTCTAAATTATAATTTTGAAATGAAGAAGCCTTTACAGTTAAGGCAATTTCTCTCCTCTCTAATTCTGATCCATTTTGGTAGGCTTGAAAACAGGTTACTTGAATTTGATTTTTGTGATTTCTTGTATCATATTGAAATACTGAAAAAATTAATCCCACAAATAAAGGATCCATTGTTTGATACACTGACTGAGTCCTTATGTCTAAAAAATAATTTGTATCATTCCTATATGTTAAAATGTTTCCTAGAGTAGGAAAGTTATCTTGTAGTTGAGGGGTCTAGAAATGCCCATATTCACACCACTCTGCATTGACGTCTATAATTTGAATTTGACAAAAATTTGAATTTTGTAATTATTACTATTGAAAGGTATTATTTACATTAATAATAACATTTGTATTACTTGAAAATCTTCTGAACATTTTTTTATTTTTATGGGTATTTTTAATCGATGAAAGAATTGGTAAATAGATGATTAAAAGTAAAATAGTAATTTCAATATGCTTATTCCCTGGTTCCAAATAATTAAATATAACCTGGCAAGGATTCCAACTGTCAGAACTAGCCAGAACAGGAACGATGTGGACAGGCGCATTTCCAGATCCTTCAACTACAAGATTACCTAGAAAAGACTAAGGACTAATTCCCGGTGGCATTCATTCACCTTTAACATGCAGTAACATATGGGTGTTGCTGTTGAGTAGGTATCTATGAATAATATGATAACTTTAGAGTATTTACCTACGTGACTGGGCCAAACAGTGATGTGTGGATGTGAATGATACCATCCTAATACTCTCATGGGTTTATTAAGTTTTTTAGCAAGTTGTTCAGCATGCATAGATGCAGTACAAAGTTGTTCAGGTGATATTTCAACTCTATCAGGTTGTTTATCACTTCTATGTAATATAACGCATGCGGATATATTTGAAACGCGCTCTTTCTCGTCAACCTACAAACAAAATATGTTTTTATGGATTTGCTAAGGACTGTATAAATTCTTACTTCGCCAATAAGAAGTCCCATGATCTCTTGTTTTTCGGTAGTTAAAGCATGTTGAACACAAACAGCGTATACATCTGCAGTGAGATTCACCCTTTTCAAATAATTTTCGGAAATCATTTTATTTTATTAGTTTATAAATCACTAAAGTGCACAATTTTATCACTTTTGAAAAGTTGCCATTTGTCATTTAATGTCATATGTCATTTCATTTCATACCAAAGACATTCAATAACTAGATTTGAATTTGCGTACAAAGTATCTCGATGGCGGTTCTCCACTAAACGGACAAAACAAAAACTCGTGTCGCGAAAAGCAAAACTGCAACTTTTCTTAAACTTTTTAAAGACAGGGGTAGTATTCTCGAATCACGAATATAGATTCACATGCGAGATTTATGATTTGTCTCACTTTGGTTTTCGTTCAACAAAGTGAGACACATTGTAAAACACGTATGCGAATGTCGGTATTCGTGATTCGAGAATACTACCCCAGGGGTAGTATTCTCGAGTCACGAATATAGATTCGCATGCGAGATTTATGATTTGTCTCACTTGGTTTTCGTTCAATAATGTGAGACACATTGTAAAACACGTATGCGAATGTCGGTATTCGTGATTCGAGAATACTACCCCAGAGGTTGAAAATTCGAGATATTGCTTAAACGCGTTTTTTTCAAAATCAAGGTATTACAAGAATTTTTTATGTTCAGCGAAAGGGTTGGTATGTAAAATATGCAAACTAGCGAAAAGTGACCTTTTTTTTTGAAATCGGAACCAAAATTTAAATGTTTTTATGATGACTCTCAAATAAGCATATTGCCATTGCAAGCATTTTTATATTCAATATTTTAAAAAGCAAAATAATTGTAGTCATGGGAACAAAATATGAAAAGACTGAACGGCCCCCTCCTGCAGCCGCCCTTGCAATTCGCAAGGTTTCCCACAATATATTAATTTTATAATGTTGATATCAATATCCGTTTCTTAAATCTTCATCTAATTAGGGAAGATCTTTGTCTTGGTTTGGCCTTTTACCATTTAGTGATTTTCCCACAAAATTGGAACTAATTTCTTCTTTTTAGCAACGCGATTTGAAGTGAAGCAACAGGCAACGGCAACAGTGTGATTGGCAACATTGTAGTAATTGAGTTCCTGTTATGTGTGTTGATGAAGTTTTGTTCACCTTTCCCTTTAATAATAACAATCCTTAAATAGAATAGGACTAGAAATGATAACATGAATGATTGCAAAATTGACAATAAATATGCGACACTTTGGAAATTGAATGTATTTATATACCTAGTTTACATATGCATTCGGGTAAGTAACATTTTTAAATGAAACCTTAGCAAAATCCTAGTACAAGAAAACTAATGCAATTATCTATTATTTACAATAAAAAAACATTTTTTGGTTTTTTGTGTCCTAGTTTTGATGGTTTGTGCGTATTTTTTCGTTCTGTTTGTGTGGGTGGTATTGTATAATAAAGTAATGGTAACATATGGGTAGGTGAATTTTTTAAGATTGATCAGCCTTGAAAGTATTTTACAATACCCAACGAAAGACAATCGTTTAGCTTAAATGTTAACTGTTTAAATGTAGGTGATATAAAGTTGAGATATTCCCACATAAATTACTCAAGATGCAAGGATAGTATATAAATTTTATTATACAAAGTTATTTTTTCAAACAAAGTGCAAATCTGTTTCAGGCCTATCAAGATATAAGGTATTTTATTTCTCTTTATAAATAGGTGAAAAGAAAAGCTTATTTTAAAGGAATGTCTAATTTACTTATATTACACAGATATTCATTTGCAGAGTGTAGAAATTCAGATTTTTTTGGGATAAAACGCCTTGGTTATTGTCTAGGTTTGAGCTCTTTTCGCTTATGAACAAACTAAGCATACGTACTCGTAGGTACCACTATTGTAAACAAAAAATCTTAGTTCCACATCTTGTGCAAATTAACAATAACGACAATTATTTTTTTTAAATAAGAATATTTCACAAATTGTCTCAAATCAAATCTCAGAGATGCTACTTTTACATCTTTTATTTTTGCCAAGCACCAAAAAAAGTTTGGCATTCAATTATTTAGTGTCAAAAGTACAGCAATTCATTTCTAATAATTTTCCTTGTCCTAACAATATTTTATAATATAACTATTGACATTGTTTTTTCCCACCCAGCACCCCTGTTCACTTCCTTTCCCGTAAAATTGATAAAAATAATAGGAGATATAGAACTTAGGTTTTTTGTTTGCAATAGCAATACCTACAAGTACCTATGCTTAATTTTCCCATAATAAAAAAGAGCTCAAACTAGATGACATTTATCAAAGTCTTTTATTTACGGGTGTGAAGTTATCCACATCCACAAATGTACACTGAGAAAAATATAACTCTATCGTAATAGTCATATAACTTGGTTCAAATTACCTGTAGAGGCTTTTCATTTGTAGATTTCAATTGGGGAGGTTTCAATACACAGCAACCATACCCGCAATTAACTTTTGCTTTGTCTCAGGGGGTGCAATTGGGGGTGAAATTTAAAAAAAAATCATAGAAGCCACAACTGGCTTTGTACACCTTTCTGCTTGGGATATGTTATGTAGTTTGCTCTTTTCTTCATCCCTGATAGCATGCTGGAGTTTGTCGAGCCGTCTGAGGGGGTGCAATTGGGGATGAAATTAAAAAAAAATCACAGAAACCACAAATGGCTTTGTACACCTTTTTACTTGAAATATGTTATGAAGATAGCTATTTTCTTTATGCCTGATACCATGCTGGAGTTTGTCGGGCCGTCTGAGGGGGTGCAATTGGGGGTGAAATTAAACAAAAAATCATAGAAGCCACAAATGGCTTTGTACACCTTTCTGCTTGGGATATGTTATGTAGTTTGCTATTTTCTTCATCCCTGATAGCATGCTGGAGTTTGTCGAGCCGTCTGAGGGGGTGCAATTGGGGATGAAATTAAAAAAAAATCACAGAAGCCACAAATAGCTTTGTACACATTTCTGCTTGCGATATGTTATCTAGTTGGCTCTTTTCTTCATCCCAGATACCGTGTTGGAGTCTGTCGAGCCGTCTGACGGCTCGACAAACTCCAGCATGCTATCAGGGATGAAGAAAAGAGCAAACTACATAACATATCCCAAGCAGAAAGGTGTACAAAGCCATTTGTGGCGTCTATGATTTTTTGTTTAATTTGACCCCCAATTGCACCCCCTCAGACGGCTCGACAATCTCCAGCATGGTATTAGGCATAAAGAAAATAGCTATCTTCATAACATATCTCAAGTAAAAAGGTGTACAAAGCCATTTGTGGCTTTTGTGATTTTTTTTAATTTCATCCCCAATTGCACCCCCTCAGACGGCTCGACAAACTACAGCATGCTATCAGGGATGAAGAAAAGAGCAAACTACATAACATATCCCAAGCAGAAAGGTGTACAAAGCCAGTTGTGGCTTCTATGATTTTTTGTTTAATTTCACCCCAATTGCACCCCCTCAGACGGCTCGACAAACTCCAGCATGCTATCAGGGATGAAGAAAAGAGCAAACTACATAACATACCCCAAGCAGAAAGGTGTACAAAGCCATTTGTGGCTTCTGTGATTTTTTTTAATTTCATCCCCAATTGCACCCCCTCAGACGGCTCGATCCAGCATGGTATCTGGGAGAAAGAAAAGAGCAAATTACATAACATATCGCAAGCAGAAAGGTGTACAAATCC